CACTGTCAGAGAGGTCTCTCTCTCTGTCTCTGTCTCTGTATCTCTCTCTCTGTCTCTGTCTCTGTATCTCTCTCTCTGTCTCTGTATCTCTCTGTCTCTGTCTCTGTCTCTCTCTCTCTCTCTCTCTCTCTCTCTCTCACTGGCATGTTGGGTCCATGGAATCATGCTGTTTAGGCCAAATTCTGACCATCTTCACTCTTGAACAGAAACGTAGATTCATCAGACCAGGCCACATTTTTCCAATCTTTAGTTGTCCAGTTTTAGTCAGCCTGTGTCCACTGCAGCCCAGATTCCTGTTCTTGGCTGACAGAAGGAGCACCTGACCATGGTCTTCCACTGTTGTAGCCCATCCACCTCATGGCTGGACATGTGTAATGCATTCAGAGATGCTTTCCTGATCACCGTTGTTGTACAGAGTGGTTATTATGCGTCTTGAGTCTGTAATGTATTGAGCACTTAAAAGGGAAATTTAATCCAAAGATTTTTCAAATTTGATTTCTTTATGGTTCTGGAATTTGTGTTCTGGATGTCATTGTAATTTCTCTTGTTTTGTTTATTTTGGCTTGCTATTACTGTTGGGATTTAAATAACAGCTTTGTAATGTTTTACCGTTGTCTTTTAAATTAGAATTATAAAATTATAAAGTCTTCCACATTGCAATCTACCATTTCCCCTGTTGATATGGTTAAAACCCATTGCTATATAGAGTGAGTCTTGTGTGGGGATTGAGGATTTGTGTTTCTTTTGTTGTGGTTTATTTACTGGTTGCTACTATTTTTGTTTTGTGTCACTTGAGGTGGAGTGCTCTGCTTTAAACCCAGTGGGTAATCCTTAAATGCTTGGGAATCATTGAAGGTTGTACTAGCCAGTATGTTTAAGACTTAATGATGGAACCTGATTGCAATGAAGCTTTTATTTGTTTAAAGTTTTAATAAAGTGTTATTTTATTGTACATCTGCCATCTGATGCTTTTCTGATCACCATTGTTGTACAGAGTGGTTATTATATGTCTGTCCGATAAACAATTTCATTCAGAGTTTTTCTGCTCACTGTAAGTAATAGGTAAGTTGGGGGTTTCACTGTTTTAAGTGACTATTTAAATCCCAGAAACTAAAAGATGGAATCATTAAGTATAAACCCCCATTCCAGCCTTTACTCTAACATATTACATTAACATTATTCCTATGGTATTGATATGCTATGACCTCTAAACAATGTATTTATCATATGTACATAATAAACTAAAGAAATAATCAACAAAACGTTAAACAAAACACAAAGTGTTTAACAGTCAGTTCATAGTGAGCTGGTACCGGCTGCTGTTTACTTGTAGTAAACTATATTCAGTGATCAGCCGTGTGGCTGATCCATAATTCTAATTTGATTCACTTTCATTATTATTATTATTTATGAGCCCTGTAAACTGTTAATACCTCAACCAGCTGATTCAACAAGAACAATCAGGTGAACTCCAGCCTGTTTGGAATGGACACCTGCAACTACATCGGCCCTTTGTAAATAAGATTGGTGACCCCTGTGTTAGAGCTTCATTGCTGTCATTTATAGTGTTATACTGCCACCTTGTGGACATTCAAAAGAACAGCGTTCTTGCCTTTCCAGTGAATTCCATTCCCACATTTCTGCACTTATTCCCACATTTCTTTTACACGGAGTAGAAGAGTCTCTGTCAGTCCTGCCACAAACTGTTAACCCTGCTTTGTACTGTACAGTGATTGTTCATTAAGCCTGTAATATATTTATTATCAGACTTAGAGTCAGTGTTTGATTAATGGAATCTGAAGATTTGAAGCATCTGCAGCCTGTAGTCCATGCTAACTGCAGCTATAGTATAATCTGTCAGGGTCATATTGTAAGTGATGATGTTAGGGTGGTTTAATAGACATTCAAACATAATGATCATCCTTATATTTGTGTATTAAATAAAATAAAAACAATGACATCATTAAGAGGAGTGTTAATAATCCCCAGTGAAGAAAATGAATATTAAAAATCTATAGAGTGAGAAAAGGTAAAGGTCTCGCTCTCCTCGTCTGTGTTTAGTAACACTTTATTTTTTTATTAAATTCAGATTTACAAGAGAGACCAACAGTTTTATTTGAACTCAGTTCACCTGTCTGGCCTTAAGCAGAGCTGCCTCTTTAAGAAGATTCATCAGCACCTCTACAGATTGAGGAACTAAGAGGGATATGAAGCTGCATTATGATCAACACTGGCATTAATATAATGTTGCTGTGAACAGAAGTCTGTAGTCCAGACTGCTAGATCAGGGTCAAAACAGAGACCAGAACACATCGATTTTGAATCAAGACCAAGACTTTTGGTAATCGAGTCTGTGTCAAGACCGAGACCATATTAAGATCTTATACTGAAAAAATAGATTGATTTGTTTGGTGTTATTTGTTTATGTATTGTCATCCATTATATATACTGATTTATTATATTATATTATATTATATTTTGTAAAATATAACATTAAATATAGCCTGAAGCATTACTACATTGTCTGTACGTATTACAGTAACAATGATGTTAAAGCGAGTTAATATCACACGGCCACATATAATAATGAAAATGGCTAAAAAATACAGCAGAAAATAGCCAAAGATTAATTCTATATGGTGTTCTGTTAACAGATTTGTGAAGAATGTAATATGAATAGTAAATTACAGCTCTCAGTAATATTATTATGTATACCAGAATGGACCTGCTGCGCCAGTTAAGGTGGAACGGGGAATCTGAACAAGAAGCTGACCTCTTCTTCGTGTGATTTAGTCCATGAGAATATCCTGCCTACAGTTTTATGTAGAGCTCTGCCTGTAAATACGCGCACATTGCTGCTGTAAGTGTACATGGCGTTTCAGAGTCAAGCCCTCCAAATATTCAGCTTTTATTGCCATAATGGCTCAATAAAGGAATGATAGACATAAATGTACTTGTTAAAGTTTCCACAAATCAGAAAAGTTAATATTAGTGTGCTATTATATTTATACATAATCAGTTATTGAAGTTATTTGCACTAATGATCTATATTTGCTGCAAAAGGCTGAACTACTGTGTTATTACACATGAAAATGAGAGCAGAACTGCATACATCACTCAAATACACTAAACCGTGTTTGTGAAAGTTTTCACAAATCAGATGATAACCAACACTTCATGACTTTAATACTGCATACATGCACTGCGTGATTATTATAGTGTATATATTTTAAATTGTGTTCCAAAGTTAAAACCACATTTTTCAGCTTTTGAGCAACAGCTTTTTAATCATTGACTGAGAAATCATTCTTTTCATTTTCTTACATGCGTATTACTGCATCAATGTTTGGTTAAATGATAGAAATATCCAATTCTGCATGCATGATAATGGAAATAGACCTGGATAAAACAATAAAACATAGCAAAATCCGTTTGTGAATATTTTTTCAAATCAAGTAATCTGTACAACGAGGGAATTTGCAAGGTTACTGTTAATGTTTGGATGTGGAACTAAACTGCAACGTCAGACAGGCTTATTCCAATCAAACATACTGAGCTCAGTTTGCGATTTTTTTTTTCACAAATCGAGCTTCTTAATTAAACACATTTTCATAGATATTGAAGTCATTTGTGTTGAAAATCACCTGCCGAGGTCAAAAACCGCTTATATTTCACTTCCTTTCACTTCCCGTGCTCGCGGTCTGCCCAGGCGACTGACAGGCAAAATAAGAACTGTGAGATTTTACACTAATCAGCTGGTCAGTCTGAACCTGGTTTCATTCTCCTGAGATCTCCACTTCTGAAGTTATAGGCTTTAGGAAAAGCGATGTGTAATATTGGCGGATTTCGGCGTGGAGCATGACGTCATCTGAGTTCAGGACGAACAAAGCGCACCAGTGTTTGTGCACGTACGTTCCTGAATTCCGGAGTTACAGCCGATAGAAATCCGAATCGCTAACCGCGAGACAACTTTACTGCGGTGATATACCTTATTATTTTATGCCTTATTGTTGATTCTGTGTAACTGTAGCGCTGCTCACCTGACTCAGGTGTGTTTACAGACAGAGCACAATGTGAACTGACTGAAGAGAAGCAGTGTGTTTGTGTTCATAGAATAATGGTGTGACTATATTTGTGAATATGAATTTTTCTGTTAAAACCAGATGAGGTCATACTGAAAACATCCATCTGGGTGCGCTCCGAACAGTGCAGCCCTAGAAAGTCTGAGCCCGAGCCCAGGACCGCGCGAACCTCCGGAAGTCTGAGCCCGATCCCCGAACAGTGCGAACCTCCGGAAGTCTGAGCCCGATCCCCGAACAGCGCGAGCCTCCGGGTGTTTGAGCACGATCCCCAAAGAGCGCGAGCCTCCCGAAGTCTGAGGCCGATCCCCAAAGAGCGCGTGCCTCCGGAAGTCTGGGCCTGATCTCCTACAAACGTGGGCCTCAGGAATTTGGCTCCGCCTCCGTAACTCTGGGCCCGGTCTCCGAGATGCGCGAGCCTCAGAAAGTTGGCTCCGCCTCCGAAAGTGTGAGCCTCTGACAGCATAAATACTCCGGGCAAACAGCACTGCAGACACTTCTCATGTGGAGGAGCTGCGGTTCGTCTTCAGTGCCTGCGGAACAGGAGCTCTTCAGGATCTCCGCTATTCACCTCCAGCAGAGCGGCTCTCCGGAGTTTGGTCCGCGGCTCAAGCAGCGCGAGCCTCCGCGTGTCTGAGGCCGATCCCCGAAGGGCGCGAGCCTCCGGGTGACTGAGGCCGGTCCCCGAAGAGCGCGAGCCTCCGGGTGTTTGAGCACGATCCCCAAAGAGCGCGAGCCTCCCGAAGTCTGAGGCCGATCCCCAAAGAGCGCTTGCCTCCGGGAGTCTGGGCCGATCTCCTACAAACGTGGGCCTCAGGAATTTGGCTCCGCCTCCGTAACTCTGGGCCCGGGCTCCGAGATGCGCGAGCCTCAGACAGTTGGCTCCGCCTCCGAAGTGTGAAGTGGTCCGCGGCTCTCTGCAGTTTGGTCCGCGGTTTGGTCCGGAGTTTCCACCTGCAGGCTGTGTTGAGTCTCCACCGTCTGCTCAGCCATGCAGCTCTTCAGCTTCTGGGTCCTAACAGTCCTGACTGCAGTCCTATCAGGTGAGAGTCCTCACTGCTCACACTGCACACTTTCATTTAACGGCCTCACTGACTTACTGAGACTGGACTCAGCTTCACTGGAGCTGCTTCCACATCATCATCTTTAGAGAGTAAATATATGGAACATAGACTGAGATTAAAGGCTATTAAGCTAGAAACACTTCCACCGTATCTACACTCACTGACCGTGATGCACAGTTTGTCTATAACTGTAAACACTTGTTCTTTTTCAGCAGGTCAGCAGACACTGGCTTACTCTGTCAAAACCACATGGAGGGATCTGAATGACCCGGCCACTCTGTTCTGTCCAGAGCCCTGTTCAGGGGTGGAAACCTGGGAGAGGAGGGGACTGAAAGTGGCTGAATGTGGAGTTAAAGAAGAGTCGGAGTTCAGCTGTGAGAGACGCCTCGACAATAGTAGCCTCACCGTTCCTCAGGTTAATTACACCACCAGAGGATTTTATCTCACCAAATGTAGCGGAAAAGTGATCTGCTTCCAGAACCTCCAGCCCAAGCGTGAGTGTTTCAGAGCACTAAACTCTTGTATGACAGTGTATGATACAGTAGTGTTATGGTAGTTTGGTGCTGGTACGACTGGAATTACAAAGATCTCTGCTTGTCTCTCCTGCAGCTCACAACTCTTCTGTTAAAGTAACAGCTGGAGATCCCCTCATCTTGGATCTGTTCACGTTCCATCCAGTGACTCTAACGTTCTCCCGGACTGATGGAGGATCTGTAACCCCTGTCCAGATGTGCACTGTGGATGGACGCTCCGTGCGCTGTAACGCGGGGTATAGAGACAGAGTGTCAGTGTGTGGTAACTCCATTTTGCTGAGAGACGTGGTGTCTGCTGACTCTGGAGTCTACACAGTGCGAGAGGTCAAGGATGGAGCGGCTCTCATACGGACAGTGTGGGTCACTGTTAAACGTAAGTGCCTTTCTTTGCTTATAAAGATGGTCTTGCTGTTTGCGGTCTTTGTTCGGAGGTGACTCTCTGGTTAGCTGCTTCTTTTGACCAGACTGCACTGTAGATGGTCTCATGTGTGTCTTTAAGATAAACTTAAAGTGTAGAACATTTACAGATTTCTCCACTGTGCTCTGCCTAATCTGTTTTTTTTTTTTTTTCTGTTGTCTTCAGATGCTCAGCAGAGCTGGACATGGAAGGATGAATATCAGCAGGGACTGAAAATAGGAGCGCTTGGATTTGGGATTGGAGCGCTGGTTCTTGGTGTGATTCTGGGGTTCTATGCTGTGCCGAGGGGGCTTTATCTGATGGACAGATGTGTCCAGAGGCTCAGAAGACGAGACTCCTCACACGTGACTCAAACTGAGGATGTGGAAAAGAGTGTTCCCCTGACATGAGGGAATACCAGCCAGCGGAATGACCCTCATCATAGGGAATGACTTTAAATCAATAAAAATGACACTGAAATTCACTTGTTTACTTATTTTTATGTACCATAATAGACATGTAATAGACATATATAATAGACATATGTTTGAGATTTTGGAGTTATAAATAGTGAATATATGATGTTGCAGGTTGTGAAAGTGGTCACCCAGGAGACGAGCTGAATTCTAAATATAAATAAGATAATAAAATTGTGAGCATTTATAAGATAAATCATTATAAATGATGACCATTCATAAGATAAATGGTCATCATTTCTTTCTGTCCGTGGTGATGACTGTGTTGGGAAGCTGGTTGAGAAACTGGTTCTTACTGTGAGTTGTGGGTTTCAGTAATAATATAATAATAATATGAGAGGCCCAATAAATACTATATTTCAGTATAAACTCCACTATCAGGTGGAGCCACTCCTCTCAGCTCAAGAACAGCCGATACTCTCTGTGTGTATTCAGGTTTACACTGTAGTGATCGTCCATCCACTGTACAGACCTGACCACTGGATGGTCTAGCTGCACCTGTGCTGTTATAAATCACCTCCACTTCTTCTGGTATCTCCAAATGCATGATCATCAATTGAAGAGGAACCCAGAGCTTCTTGCCAGGTTGTAGATGATCCCTGGTGGCAGCTCTGGAACATTTTAAGTCAACTGAGACTTTTTTTTAGTCATACGTCTACTCAGCAATGGTATTACCATTATTTATAATCGCTCAGAAGCATTTGCCCATGACAAGTTCACTTTTTCAAAACTCATCACACTCTTCTAAAGCAGGTTAGCACACCTTTTACACTCAAACTGCTCTACAGCTACAAAAACACTGCAGTATCATCTCCAAATAAACTCATTCCATTCCATTCCATTCCATTATTATTATTATTATTATTATTGTTGTTGTTGTTGTTGTTGTAAATTGTTTATTTTTTCGCCGTTAATGTTAACAACACTGTGAAATGTGAAAAAGCACAGAAGTTGATTTGAAGTGTTTTTTGAACATTGAAATGATTAAAAAAATGGTTTAAATCTATATTTATTTTTCTTCATCTGTACTAGGCCATATTTTTGCTTCTATTTCATGGAAAGTATTTATTTGAGTAAAATCAGTTCAATTATTTTAATTGACAAACCATTTTTTGAAATGACTGAATAAACTAGTTTTACAATGAATGAAAATACAGGGAATGGACTACCTTTATTGTATGAGAACAAATGCAGTAATAGAAAGTGAAAATTCGACATTTTACATTATTCTAGCACAGAAAAAAACTAACAGATAGTGTAAATGCTCCAATGAGCCCGATCCCCGAACAGCGCGAGCCTCCGGGAGTTTGAGCCCGATCCCCGAAGAGCCCGAGGCCACCGACGTCTGAGCCCGAACCGAGCCTCGGGAAGTCTGAACACGATCACCGAACCGCGCGAGCCTCCGGAAGTATAACGCCGATCCCCGAAGAGCGCGAGCCTCCCGGTGTCTGAGCCCGATCCCCGAAGAGCGCGAGCCTCCCGGTGTCTGAGCCCGATCTCCGAAGAGCGCGAGGCTCCCGACGTCTGAGCCCGATCCCTGACCCGCGCGAGCCTCGAGAAGTCTTCGCACGTTCCCCGAACCGCGCGAGCCTCGGGGAGTCTGAACACGATCACCGAAGAGCGCGAGCCTCCGGAAGTATAACGCCGATCCCCGAAGAGCGCGAGCCTCCCGGTGTCTGAGCCCGATCCCCGTCGAGCGCGAGGCTCCCGACGTCTGAGCCCGATCCCTGACCCGCGCGAGCCTCGAGAAGTCTTCGCACGATCCCCGAACCGCTCGAGCCTCGGGAAGCCTGAACATTATCCCCGAACCGCGCGAGCCTCGGGAAGCCTGAGCCCGATCCCCGATCCGCGCGAGCCTCCGGGAGTCTGAGCCCGATCCCCGAACCGCGCGAGCCTCGGGAAGCCTGTGCACGATCACCGAACCTCGCGAGCCTCGGGGAGTCTGAGCACGATCCCCGAACCGCGCGAGCGACGAGGATGTGGAAAAGAGTGCTCCCCTCACATGAGGGAATACGATCACCGAGCCTCGGGTTCGGTGATCCCTGTATAGTCCCTGTATATGTCACTTCTTCTGGTATCTCCAAATGCATGATCATCAATTGAATAGGAACCCAGAGCTTCTTTCCAGGTTGTAGATGCTGGCAGCTCCGGAACATTATAGTTCAACTGAGACTTTTATCAGTCTTACATATACATTTTACTCCTTACTCACTTGTACCCATTTGATCTGTTTCAAATACATTATTATTATTATTATTATTATTATTATTATTATTATTATTATTATTATTTTGTATTACTCAGGAATGGTATTACCATTATTTATAATCGCTCAGAAGCATTTGCCCATGACAAGTTCACTTTTTCAAAACTCATCACACCCTTCTAAGCAGGTTAGCACACCTTTTACACTCAAAGTGCTCTACAGCTACAAAAACACTGCAGAATCATCTCAAAATAAGCTCATTCCAACAAACATCAACACCAGTGTTCAACAGCAGTGCTTTATCAATCAGAGCAACAGCCCCTCAGAAACACCCACAACTGTAGCATGAAGGCAGATCCACTATTTTATATGCTCTATTATACATCCCTGAAGCAGTATAGAGTTTTATTATTATTATTATTATTATTATTATTATTATTATTATTATTATTTTTGTTGTTGTTGTTGTTGTAAATTGTTTATCTTTTCGCCGTTAATGTTAACAACACTTTGAAATGTGAAAAAGCACAGAAGTTGATTTGAAGTGTTTTTTGAACTTTGAAATGATTAAAAAAATGATTTAAAAACTAAATTTATTTTTCTTCATCTGTACTGAGCCATATTTTTGCTTCTATTTCATGGAAAGTATTTATTTGAGTAAAATCAGTTCAATTATTCCTATTGACAAACGATTTTTTGAAATGACTGAATAAACTAGTTTTACAATGAATGACAATAGAGGGAATGGACTACCTTTATTGTATGAGAACAAATGCAGTAATAGAAAGTGAAAATTCGACATTTTACATTATTCTAGCACAGAAAAAACTAACAGATACTGTAAATGCTTCAATGAGCCCGATCTCCGAACAGCGCGAGCCTCCAGGAGTCTGAGCACGATCCCCGAAGAGCGCGAGCATCCGGGAGTTTGAGCGCGATCCCCGAAGAGCATGAGGCTCCCGACGTCTGAGCCCGATGCCCGAACCGCGCGAGCCTCGGGAAGCCTGAGCACGATCACCGAACCGCGCGAGCCTCCGGGAGTCTGAGCACGATCCCCGAACCGCGCGAGCCTCGGAAAGCCTGAGCACGATCACCGAACCGCGCGAGCCTCGGGAAGCCTGAGCACGATCACCGAACCGCGCGAGCCTCGGGGAGCCTGAGCACGATCACCGAACCGCGCGAGCCTCGGGGAGCCTGAGCACGATCACCGAACCGCGCGAGCCTCGGAGAGCCTGAGCACGATCACCGAACCGCGCGAGCCTCGGGAAGCCTGAGCACGATCACCGAACCTCGCGAGCCTCGGGAAGTCTGAGCACGATCACCGAACCGCGCGAGCCTCGGGAAGCCTGAGCACGATCACCGAACCTCGCGAGCCTCGGGAAGTCTGAGCACGATCCCCGAACCGCGCGAGCGACTAGGATGTGGAAAAGAGTGTTCCCCTCGCATGAGGGAATACCAACCAGCGGAATGACCCTCATCATAGGGAATGACTTTAAATCAATAAAAATGACGCTCAAATGTACTTGTTTACTTATTTTTATGTTCTATAACCGACATGTAATAGACATATATAGTAGACATATGTTTGAGATTTTGGAGATATAAATAGTGAATATATGATGTTGCAGGTTGTGAAAGTGGTCACCATGTAGACAAGCTGAATTCTGAATAATAAAAAAAAATAAATAATAAAATTGTGAGCATTTATAAGATAAATCATTATAAATGATGACCTTTCATAAGATAAATGGTCATTATTTCTTTCTGTCCGTGTTGATGAATGTGTTGGGAAGCTGGTTGAGAAACTGGATCTCTCTGTGAGTCGTGGGTTTCAGTAATTCTGAGCACGATTACCGAACAGCGCGAGCCTCAGAAATTAGGAAGATCGGGCTCAGACTTTCTGAGAGCGCTCTATTCGGAGGCGGAGCCAAATTTAACCGAGAAGGCGTGAGCCCGATCCCCGAACAGCGCGTGCCTCCAGCAGCATAAATACTCCGGGCAACCAGCAGTGCAGACACTTCTCGTGTGGAGGAGCTGCGGTTCGTCTTCAGCGCCTGCAGAACAGGAGCTCTTCAGGATCTCCGGTCTTCACCTCCAGCGGGTTTCCGGAGTTTGGTCCGCGGTTTGGTCCGGAGTTTCCACCTGCAGGCTGTGTTGAGTCTCCACCGTCTGCTCAGCCATGCAGCTCTTCAGCTTCTGGGTCCTAACAGTCCTGACTGCAGTCCTATCAGGTGAGAGTCCTCACTGCTCACACTGCACACTTTCATTAGACAGCCTCACTGACTCACTGAGACTGGACTCAGCTTCACTGGAGCTGCTTCCACATCTTCATCTTTAGAGAGTAAATATATGGAACATAGACTGAGATTAAAGGCTATTAAGCTAGAAACACTTCCACTGTATCTACACTCACTGACCGTGATGCACAGTTTGCCTATAACTGTAAACACTTGTTCTTTTTCAGCAGGTCAGCAGACACTGGCTTACTCTGTCAAAACCACATGGAGGGATCTGAATGACCCGGCCACTCTGTGAGCCTGTCATAAATTGAGCACTTAAAGGGGAGATTTCTTCCACAGATTTTTCAAATTTTCTACGTAATTAAAAGGTCAAAAAGGTAAACAGTGTCATTTGAGTTTTTCTGCTCACTGTAAGTAATAGGTAAGTTGGGGGTTTTACTGTTTTAAGTGACTATTTAAATCCCAGAAACTAAAAGATGGAATCATTAAGTATAAACCCCCATTCCAGCCTTTACTCAAACTTATTACATTAACATTATTCCTATGATACTCATATGATATGATCTCTAAACAATGTATTTATCATATGTACATAATAAACTAAAGAAATAATCAACAAAACGTTAAAAAAAACACAAAGTGTTTAACAGTCAGTTCATAGTGAGCTGGTACCGGCTGCTGTTTACTTGTAGTAAACTATATTCAGTGATCAGCCGTGTGGCTGATCCATAATTCTAATTTGATTCACTTTCATTATTATTATTATTTATGTAAACTGTTAATACCTCAACCAGCAGATTAAACAAGTACAATCAGATGAACTCCAGCCTGTTTGGAATGAACACCTGCAGCTACACCGGCCTTTTGTAAATAAGATTGGTGACCCCTGTGTTAGAGCTTCATTGCTGTCATTTATACTGTTATACTGCCACCTTGTGGACATTCAAAAGAACAGCATTCCTGCCTTTCCAGTGAATTCCATTCCCACATTTCTGCACTTATTCCCACATTTCTACACCTATTCCCACATTTCTACACCTATTCCCACATTTCTTTTACACGGAGTAGAAAAGTCTCTGTCAGTCCTGCCACAAACTGTTAACCCTGCTTTGTACTGTACAGTGATTGTTCATTAAGCCTTTAACATTATTATTATCAGACTTAGAGTCGGTGTTTGATTAATGGAATCTGAAGA